AAAAAAACATAAATTTAGCCCTTAAATAAATCAACTCTTTATTTCCAAGTCATTCGCCTAATGTATTTAATCCCGAAAGTTGTATTAATACATCACTGTTGCTCATTTAAAATCCATTCTCAATTACACCCTCTCCCCATTTATCCGGTGTAATACTCACCGACAAACCAGGGGTTTCTGGGGTTGTTTTCAACGTTCAGTCCGAGAAAATAGTCCTCGAACCCGCGCACCGGGTTGGCTTGCGGCTGAACGGACAGCGTTCCCTCGACCTCAGGTTCGTTACCGTCAGAGACGAGAGATCGGGCTGACCAGCCGTCGCTTCCTATCCAACTGAACGCACCCGTGGCATTACATCGGCGGACGGCGCGCATAACTTCGGCAACTTCTTGGTCCGAGCCGAATATTATTGCACCTGTGTAAATAAACGGAAAGCATATATTAGATTACATCTACTTTGATTAAAAATAACATGAAGCGTTAATAAGAAAATATTTTAATAAATATACTCAACAATTCAAATCAACTAATGCAATTATAATTGCAATCATAAATTACTTTTCATTTATTAGTGTCAAAATGTTGAATACTTAAAATAATTGTAATATTTAACTTCCCACACATTTGTTTTCGCAAAAAATCCGATTTGCCATTGTATGTTCTTTCGACGTTTGAAATCGTTGTGAATCTAATGAGACCAAAATTGGGAAAAGTATGCGTGAGTATATACGAGTATGAGATTTCGTGTATGCGTTTGTGAGCCAATTTTTGACCTTTAACCGACGTTTTGTCCTAAACTGCTGCGCTGATTTCAAAAATTTGAAAGCACTTTGATGTAACCCGATAAGGACTGGCGTTAGGCACGACAATCATCCAAATCGTTTCTTTCTAATTAGCAGAAAAAAGTGAAATTTTTGTCTACTCAATTTATCAATCTTAATGAAATTTTATATAACGATAAAATTTGTAGTCTGTAGTAACATATTAAAATATTATTGGCATATGCATTATATAAAATCATCGAAGTTTATAATTTCGCCGTGAACTTGAGCAATTCTAATCAGAATTTGTGCCAATGCATATGTATGTTCTAGGGAATGCAATACCGATGGAAAATTTCAATACCGGTATGTCGGTAATTTTTCATTTTAAAATCGGAATACCGGTAAATTACCGGTATTTTTATTATCTTAAACAAACCTAAACAACATTGAAAGTTACTAGACAAATATAAAAAATGTATATACAACTACAACTATAGGTATTCAACTAAACAATAAAAACAATAAAATGAATCAATAAGTTTATTTTAACAAAATTATATCCAATTTAATTAATTCATTATCACTATCGAGTATATTGAGCACTTTTCACCAAAAACAAACTTATGAGTAAGAAAGACCAAAAACTCATACAAGATCATATTACATTATTATAATAAACTGTATTGTCTGTATCCGATGTGTTAAATTAGCATAATCTCCAATATTTAAAAAAAATAATTTTTCTACACTAATTTAAGATCGCATACTTTGTCGATATAAATAATAAGTTACTATAATTGTTGAGTATTGTTATTTAATACAATGTGATGCTTCTATAGTATTTTCAAACTTCGAAACCTTTTCGAAAAATAATATTTTATAATTGTAATAAGAAGCAAAAATATTTAGTAATTATCATAATTATTATGTATACAGTTAGAAAAAAATAAAGATCACGCAGGGGTAATCTGTATGATATAAAATATTTTGACGCAAATATCACTTAAAAAACTGTTACATTTTTACATAAGATGAAACAAATATCATTATCTATCAGTCCAATTCTATTTATTGTAACACGATATGTAGCCCTTAGTAAAGCAATAAATATTCAGTTTAATGACGAGTTGAGATAATATTTGACATTTCTTTATCCTATAGAATCACTTGAAGATATATCTGTTTATGCGATTATGGAATTTAAAGATAAATTTGTTTCGAAAAATTTAAACTTTAATGTATTATGTATCAAATAGCGCTTATGTAAAAATGCCAAAAATACCGGTAGTTTTGGGGTAACTACCGGTAAAAATATCGCCGAAAAATCGGGCGGTTTACCGGTAATTCGGTATACTGGTATACCGGTATTGCATTCCCTAGTATGTTCTTTAGTGTTTTCTAGGTAGCTACTGATTACAGTTGAAGTCTACACTGAACTGATGTACATTGTTAGAACATGTATTTTCAAGTTAAAATAGCCTCTTTCAGGGTCAAATTGAATAATCTCAGCTCAGCTCTGCATTAGATAAAAATCACGGGAATTCTAATAGTCAAATAGCCAAATATAGATGGATCACCGCTTGGTTACCATCTAACAATACGACTTAAGAAAAAGTTTCAAACCAACAGCTTTTAGAACGAAGAATTAATTTTTTTAGACAACAAAAATAACATGTAATTCAATATTCATTTCATCAAATAAAACCTACAAAATATGCTTTAACAGCTAAAAAATACTTCTAAATACTCGTGAATATTATTAGCTAATAACTTATTCGATAACAGTTGAGAAAGTATGAATTATATAGTGCCTGTCTATTCCATTAGTAATAGCACTATATATTTCTATTATTTGGGCTGTAATCGATATTCAGACCAATATAAAAGCATGAGTAGGGTGTTTTTTTCCGGATTACTATTGTGCAGATTTTATAAAAGATCTAGTTGCTTTATTTGAATTAATATTATCATTAAAGCATGATACGTGCTGGCACAAATATTAATCGAATATATGTGAAAGTTTTTAATATATCGCAAATTTATTAGATAATCTTTAATTAATGAATTCAATATGAAACAATATATAAGAATTCATATAAAATTTATCTATGTATACTTTACGGCGAATTTGATTTGATGCCATTTTTTTTCGTTATAATGCAACTCCATGATCTATATAATGATATACTTTTATCAATTTGTTATCTAATACTGATGACAAAATATTGCAATAATGCTCTAGAATAGCTGTTTTTACTTATTATCATTTTTCAGATCTATAAACTCCAGTAAGTCTAATATCTCTACTGCTAGATATCAAGCTGGGTGGATTGGGCTGGGTGGATATCAAGGTGTGATTGGGCATTTGGCCAACACCAGTAGATGCTGGATCACGTTTTTACCACGGAACCATTGTCTAGTCTACAAATGTTACCAATAATATTATATAATATGAAGAAAAGAAGAAGTCACCGGTCAAGTATCATATATTGGTTAACAAACAGATTATTTGAAACAAAACAACACAATAAAAAAATTTAGATCTGTACAGCTTTGACGAATCAAGGTAAGTTATATGTTTATCACATCTTAATTTTCCAAAGATTTTCAGTATATTTATGGTATAGGTATATAAAATCTCTAGAACGTGAAATGTAACTTTTGCATTAAGGGCCTGTGGCTCTCAACAGACCCTCCTCTCAATAAGGAGAGTGTTCTCTTGGAAATAATACACGGGATCAATAGGCTTTCGACAGGATTGAATTGTACCGCAGAAAAGACCCATTTCCATATTAAATTCTAGACAAAATCTCACCTTTTTCCAGGGTGCTTTGTTTATTCGCATCTGTAGCTTGATGAGGGTTTCTTTAATAGTTTCAGCTGTCGTTGTGGTTTAAATAAAATATATCAGATCTTCTTGTTTTGTATTATTACAAATTTAATGAAAGCAGAATAGACGAAAAAGACAAAATTGGATAAATAAAAAGTAAAATTCAAATGCGCCAACAACATGAAATATAAAATGTAAGACTAAAATGGTGCATATAATCAAACCAAGAATATCCTGATTTTGATTGTGACACAGTGCACGTATAGCGCTAATGCAAATTTCTGAAACTTACAATTTTAAAATTAATATATGATATGAATTAATTGTTTAATTACTATTATTGACAAGTTATTATAAAACTTATTTGTTACCATAATATACTCATAAACTTTAAAGTTTTGTTTAGGCGATGCGGAATCCTAAATTGAGTAAAAAACAAATTATTACAAGAATTTCAAAAATATTTAATTTAACGAGACCCAACGTTAAATACAAAAAACTTTTGAATCGAAGACCTTATATATATACTTCCCTATGAAATCTGGAAGTATCACCCAAATAATGAAGTCAAAATTGTTGAAATATTTTCTAGTTACTCTATATCTTACGAGTGCTTTCAAGAAACTTTTTACAAATATTTGTCAAATTAACTTGCACACGTCTATTGTGTTTTTGGGTTTAAAATAAATATTTTTTATTCTTTTCATTGCGATTCCAAAACAGGTCGGTTCGCGTGATTCACTAGTAAGAGCTTTGGCTTTGCAACAACAGGGTTCCCACTCCTAATAGACTGATATTGGGCAGTATGATAATGACTCCCGTTTTCACTTGAAAATATAAGCTAAACAGGTTTCCCATTGAAAATAGCGGGTTCGCAAGATTGCTGCATCAAATGAAAGTTAGAACATTAGTACATTCTAATAGTGAACATTTGAGAATAATATGTAGGCCAACCGTTGGATTTATATCTAAGAAGCGGGGTTGGTAATGAGAAGTTTTATCACGTCTCATAGAACTTTGCGTCCTGATCGCAAAAACAAAAAATAAAATTTAAAACAACTCCTTTGCCCTTACAAGAATGCGATAAGCTGCCGAATTATTATGATAAAAATTATTATCGAATAATATATGACGAATAGTGAGACAAACTCCAATGCACCATAATCAATAAAGGCAATATAAAACATAAGAATGGTGATAGCTGCAGTGTATTAATGAGTTCTTGTTGTGGAAATTGTGTTTTCATATTCCATTCTCTCAATAATCCTGTTTTAATTGCGCAATTCAATTTATAATTCCCCTTCTGAGTGTGGCACACTTGAGTCATGAACACATTGGTTGATAACGAATGTCTATATGTAAATAGTACAGCATTCGAGCTAGTTGTTATGTGGTTTCGTGTTACAATATTCATTGGAACTAATCTGGATAACATCAACAATATGTATGTGGTACATAACCTACCTAAGCGCAATAATAATACGACAGTCGGTAACAGTGGAAAATTTTTGTTATTATTAACTTACCCTATGGTAAATTATAGCAATCGCAAAAAATAGAAAAGGAATTTTTTGCATAATTTTACGTTTCAGAGGTTTCTAAACATTTTGGAATACCTTTGAAAAAAAAACGATGTGAATGTTTGTAGTACATATAAAATATTTTGTCGACGTTTTTGAGAGCATCGCTTAACCGATATAAATTATTCAAATAGCATTCGATTCGTATTAATAAGAAGACGTGCTGATTAGTTTTTGACAAAAGTTGATCTTGCCGTTTTGCAGATATGGAGCAAAGAATGCAAAAAATAGAAATGAAATT